TGTTTTGAAAATTCATGATTGAGTGTGAGTGATGTTTGTGCGTGGGGTTGTCAGAGGGAGAGAGAGTGTTTGTGTGTGTTTGATGAATTGAAAGCTGAGCGTGGTTTTGTGTTGAAAACGTGTTTTCAAAACACGTTTCTACATTTTGGCTAAAATCGTGGTTTAGAACAGCGAGTTTAGAAATTTTTTTTTTTTGAATAAAAGCGTGGTTTAGAACAGCGAGTTCAGAAGAAAAAAAAATTAATTAAAAACGCCTTTTGTAACCGCGATTTCTTAATCAAAAGCGCGTTTTGTAACCACGATTTTAAGACTTCCCAAATTTCACGCGAGACAGACGCATATATGTTGAAATCGTGGTTGTGAACCACGATTTAGCCTATTTTGGGAAATCTTTCAAAACTCGGCTTAGTTTGGGAATTGATTTAGTATTTTGGCTTATTTAGGGAAATGCCCCCATTATTCTCTCTCTAACTACTTTGCCTTCTTCTTTACCTAATATCTTATCTCCGTTATCTCTTTGTTATTGTATTTCTAGTTGCGACCGTTGAAAAATTCAAGCCTCTCACCACTTTTAAAGAATTCAAATTTTTTAGCGATCTTCAAATTTTTTGACGAGCATTCAAATTTTACCATAATATTCTCAGACCCTCTCATATAGAGCTAAACTCACCTCAGCTCGGTCGATGTCAAGTTGCTCAACCCAATCCATATCAATCCAATCCATTTCCAAATATTAGCATGCAATAAACATAATTAAAACCCGAAACTTTATATATAGTAAAATTTAAGGAGTCCATGACCACTTTAGTAATTAAGTATATTTATAAGTGTATTTAAAAATTAAAAAATTCATTTAAAACAAAAAAATATGATTTTCTAAAAAGATTTTTTTTAAAAACTAAAACCAGAAATATTATACAAATAGTAATGTATCATAACCCCAAAAAAAAATAAAATAAAAGGGAATGCAAATCTCTCTCCCTCTCTCTCTCTCTCTCTCATAATCTGGAGCTTTATTTCTTCCTTTCCTTCTTCTGTTTGGGTTCTCTCTTACAATGACCTGTTGATTTGACCTTCTATGTCTCAAGCCAACAACAAGAAGCGCTCAGTCTACAACACTACCACCAGCAGCAGTTCCGGCGGCGGCGCTAATTTTCTGGCGATGAAAAAGGCCAAGTCTCAGGCCGTCGCTTGTTCTCTCGACAATAAAAACGGCCTCCAACACCACCAACACTCTTCCTCCATGATCCAAGATTCCAACGACCCAAACGACGTCATCGACCCCGCCGCCGCTGGACTCGGCCGCTCCGCCACCAATTTGTCCCGCAAGAAGGCCACGCCGCCTCAGCCTGCGAAGAAGCTCGTCATCAAGCTCCTCAAAGGTTTTCTTTGATCTCTATCGATTCATATTTTAATATGCTTAATTTTTGTAAAGATTCATCATTTATTGATTGTTTTGATCGCTCGATTGCTTGTTTGAGTGTGGTTCAGTTGGACCTAAAGACCTATTGTTCATTTTGTTAATACATTACTACTTGGAATTGCAGGTATTGATCAATATCTAGGGCTCTTTGCTATGTATACAACGTTCTTTTTGTGAACATATGTTAATTTAATATTTAGAATTAGAGTTGCTTTGATTTTGCTATTGTAAACAAAGTATAACGTAGCGGAATAAAACAAAACATGGTCATACCTTTCAAAGAGAGTTTGAATTGAAGGATCTCGTGGGTAAATCACGTGCTTTCTGAATATGGTCAATCAACCCAGCTATGGGGTGATATTACAATAGTGAATATCACTCACACAAACCACAATGCAAATGGCTTTAATCGTTGTTTTTGAGAGAGAGTCAGTATATGAGAAAAACTCAAAAACATACGTTAATCACCCATATCCCATATATCAGATATATAATCTATTTATCTCATTTATCCATATTAGTTATATGAGATAATATCTGATATCTATATCATTTATCTATATCAGGATATGATAGATATATATCCTGAGTGGCTATCCAAATAGGTTTGAATTCAAATTCAAAACCTATTTGGATAAGGTTCAAAAAGTTGAAAAGGGTCATGCCACATGGGCACCCATTTCTAACATCTCCCACTCGCACATGAGTTGGCATGACACTGCCACATCTCTATCTCAATCTCCCCAAAAATGAACAATCTCATACTAGCCAATGCACCATGCGACCGCTGAGAACACCTGCAAGTGGGAGCTCTATACTAGAAATTCAATATGAGTCAGCATAGAGACATCAACCCAAAAAGAACAGAAATAGTGTCTCATGTACCCAGACCCATCTAGCTATATCAGTCCAAAAATATCTCTAATCCCTCAAAGAGCATGTTTGACTCTCCTAGGTCCCGCATTATATTCACACTCAATCAGCATCCTATAAAGAGCAATGTGAGTTGTCGACAGTGAATATAGAGCAGAGATGTAGAACTAGATGATCTTCCCTTCACCCTCATATCATTCAATTTGAAATTGACCGCTTTCCCAGTAATGTCCCTTAAAGCCGAATAATACATGACCGCAGGCAATATACCAAAGTAGCTGAACATCAACTCTTTATCTTATGACATAGTCAAAGGTCACAAAAGGCACAAAGTGAAGTCATTTAGGGAAAAATGACTTTTAGGACTCACACGGTGAAGAAGCAGGGATCCATTCTTTCACCTCGCTAACGGGTCGATAATCACATACAGTATGAATGCATGTTACAGTGGAGTTACTCTTCCAAAGAGTGATGTTAAACTCACACACCATACAGATCTTAGTCTAGTCGCTCTTAAGCGCACGAGTCGCTTCCTAGCGTCTAACTCGAATTCTCTATTTGCTCGCCTCTCAGGCATCAAATGAGATCTTGCATCTGGCTATCCATAACAGACATATCATGGAAAAGTGGGTACTCTCATATCCATGGTCGGTCTCTAACAAGACCTCTTGGCTCCAACCAAGGCGACATAGCTAGTGGATAATTTTAGCTTCTAGTCTCATCCTTACTAGCTACCTAGCGCTAAGGGCGATTGCTCGTGTGAGTGAGCCAATCTTGCCTGCTAACATCAATTTAATTATTTTGTGCATGCTAATTCACAAACCATTACTAAAAGTAGTAAACATAAATGTATAATAGAAACAAATATGAATACTAATGGCATAAATATCCCCAAAAAAATGAGTTCAACTGAATACACATAAAAATATCACCACCTATGTAGTCCTAAAGCCCTAACATGAGTAAGATAAACATCTCTAGCAATGGGCTTAGTCAAAGGGTCCGCAACCATGCGACTCGTAGGGATGTGCTCCAGGATCACTTCTTTCTGCGCCAAAATGTCTCTGATAAAGTTGAACCTCACATCAATGTGTTTGGTTCAGCCGTGGTATTTAGGATCCTTAGCGTAAGCGAGTGCAGCTATACTGTCACAATGGATAGTCACAGGGTCTGTAGTGTGTGTGACAACATCCAAATGCTGAAGAAATCTCCTCAACCACACGGCTTCCTGAACGACAGATGAACAAGCCACAAACTCAGCCTCCATAGTCGATAAGGCGATACAGGATTGCTTCTTACTGCTCCAAGAAATAGCACCATCGCTAAGCATGAAAGCATATCCTGAAGTAGACTTACGCTCATCTAGGTCTCCTCCCCAGTCAGCATCACAATAGCCAACTAGATGTAGATCTGAACTCTGGTAGCAAAGTGTGTAATCTGCAGTCCCTCTAAGATATCGTAATATCCTCTTAACTGCTTTCCAATGAGCTGGTCCTGGGTTGGATTGGTAACGACTCACCAATACGACTGCATAACAAATGTTAGGGCATGTACACATCATAACATACATCAAGCTTTCAACAGCATTTACGTAGGGTACACGGGCCATCTTTTCATTCTCTTCT